TGTATACTGTGGTGTCTGTATACTGTGGTGTGTGTATACTGTGCTGTCTGTATACTGTGGTGTATGTATACTGTGCTGTCTGTATACTGTGGTATATGTATACTGTGGTGTCTGTACAATGTGGCGTCTGTATATTGTGGTGTCTGTATACTGTGGTGTATGTATACTGTGCTGTCTGTATACTGTGGTGTATGTATACTGTGCTGTCTGTATACTGTGGTATATGTATACTGTGGTGTCTGTATACTGTGGTGTCTGTATACTGTGGTGTATGTATACTGTGTTGTCTGTATACTGTGGTGTATGTATACTGTGCTGTCTGTATACTGTGTTATATGTATACTGTGGTGTCTGTATACTGTGGTGTCTGTATACTGTGGTATATGTATACTGTGGTGTCTGTATACTGTGGTATATGTATACTGTGGTGTCTGTACAATGTGGTATATGTATACTGTGGTATATTGCCATTTTGCTTGCTCAGGATGAGACTGTGACGTAGTGAAGATTCAACCTGTGTGCTACTTCCTTAGATAGAGAACTTTACTAATTGGCTTTTCTATGTATGTGAATGTTCCTGTAAAGTGCCCTGAGACAACTTTATTATGATCTGGCGCTTTATAAGTAAACTGAGTTTAATCGAATTGTGGTTGCTCTGTATTTTGGTATCTGTATACTCTGATGTCTGTCTTGAATTAGGTTAACTCCAACAGATAACACCAATGTTTTTAACAAACATCACCTGCACTCTGTACTGCTTAAATTACTTGTAATGGATGAATGTCTGTTACTACTACACTAAATGTTGTCATTTTGTCAATTTGGCTTCATTATAGCCTTTTTTTGTGTCTTTGCTAAGGTTGATAAGTTGTGGCAGCCATCTTAATTTGGGATATCTCAAAAAGTTAATCAGTTGTTCATGTGCATCTAGACTGTCTGAGTTGCATTAATATCTCTTCATTGAGTCATAAGATATTTATCTGTCAGACTGTCAAACACGTACAAACACATGCAATAACTTTATAATACAAATTAAACATGTTATCTGTCCAATTAAAACACTACTATTGATTTTTATCTCATATATTATAGAGATGCATCTGTTTTCCAAAACAGGTACAAAGAAAGCATAAAAATGAAGCCAAAATATGGACTCCTGTGAACATCCAATAATAAATACTGCAGACGAACGTTGCCCCAGGTTGTTAACCTGAAAACCAGTTCTAGCAATGCATATTAATTTCAAATAAAAATATATATCAGGTTGGGTTCAGGTACGTTTAATAAACATAACCAAAACGCGATGAGCTGAATTTCTTTTTAAAAATAATAAGCAGTGAAATATAAAATGGTGTCACGTTTAGAGAAAAAAGTAACTTGTGAGCCACTAATTTAGTCTATTGTTCACAGTGTGCTACTCCAGCACCACCAGACTGCTCAGCAGACAAAGCGTTACAGAAACACTGCTGTGAGAGATTTGCTCTTTTTGTCCAAGATGCTGCTTTATATTTATGTCATTGGCATATCATTATCAAAATGTCTATTAAATAAACTGCAACATGTGTAAGTTGACATATCATAATTTGTCATTTTCAGTGTTTCCAGGGTTTTTTATTTTGTCATGTGTTCAGTTTATTGCTTGTCTCCCTGTGTTTCTGCCACTCAGTCTCTTTTCACAGTTAGTGTTTGCTCCTGCCACGCCCACCTCCACCTGTTCTTAGGTGTGTTTGCTCCTCTCATCATGCTGCTCAACTCCTCAGTAGAGCATCGCGTGTTCTCCCTGTGCATCCTCAAACCTCCACGTGTCTCCATGTCTCTGAGCTTCAGTTTCTGTTAAGTTCTTGCTGCCGGGTTTATTTTTTAAACTCAAATAATTAGACTTTTAAGATCCCTGTGTCAGTCTGCATCATCATATAACTGTGACAATAAATGCATGCGTACAAATCTTATCTTACTGTTGAGGACTGATAGAGTTTTTATATTACAAACCCGGAGAGGATTTAGTTCAAATATATATTTGTTGACAGATGTCTATATTGATAAACTTTATGAACATTCATAAAAAACTAGAATTAATAATTTTTCATGTGCAACATTTGTGTGGCATTTCTTTGCAAGTTGTTTCCTTGTCT